ATGACAAGTTCTTCTTCAGTTCCATCACCATTGAAGTCTGTGATGAGTGGAGTGGACAGAATGTGAGGGTCTACAAAGACACTGATGCCATCCGATGATAAACCAGATGGGCGTCTGCCTGGATGATATTTGGACCAAAAACTGTCTCCTGGACCATGGTCAATGCTTGAGTTTGAATACTGCTGTTTACCCTTGGTAAAAAAGAAAACTAATTCTGGGAATTGGGATTTTATTTGGAAGTACACTGTACTCTCTCAGTAAGGGGAATGCAAGCAAACTACTCTTTTCTTAAAATTCTTTGAAAGAAATGATTCTCACAGGTGGGCTACAATGCCTGAATTTTTCAGGCTTCTTTTTGTTAATTGCAACCCACCTGTTATGACTATTTCCTTCCTCAGATATTGTTTGCTGATCAAAAGCATCATTTAATAGTCAACATTGACTGGTAGTCAGAGCAGTGAACTACATAATGAGAGATCTATGTTCAACCCCTGAAGGAGGAATTGCACTGGGTTACAATGTCTTATCTTATCCTCAAAAAGAAAACAGTATCCGGGCACAAGAGGTGTGGCAGTACTCCTAGTTACTCTAGACTACAGAGATCAGAATAAACACAGGCAGTGTTAAGCGCTCAGATTACAGGACCTCTTTCTCAGTTTAATTCAACTTAGTATAATTGCTCACATGATTATAGAGATTCTCACACTATGATTGGTCAAGGATTGACAGTTATCTTGCCACAATCACACAAGGTGAATACAGTAGGGGTGTCAAATTTCAAAATGGCTGTCTTGCATTTTGCCAATATTACCAAAGAAGAGATAAAAAGTGATATAAGAAAATTCCATTCCACAAAGCACAAGAATCTGGAATCTGACCTTGGTAACTGGTTGCTTATTGTGATATGAGTAACCAAAACAATTGTAACAAATACATTTGTGTTCCCTATGCTTTCCATTTTTACCCCTGAATGGCTTCAATAACAGAAAAAATTGATGTTTTTCCTCTGATAATAACCACTCATACACAAGAATAATTATTAGTCTCACAATCAGTGGATACTGGAGGTAATTCTACAATATTCAATTCTACTTTGCCAAGTAACTGTTAAATAATAAAAAGACAAGTGTATTTGCTATAAGTAATGTACATTGCAACCATAGGCTAACTAAACTAAACAAGCTACATGTTCATGTTACTTGTGAGTTCATAGAAGTCTTAGCTATGCAAAAAATTTTTTTTATTCCTAACTACTGGGTACCTTCAGATTATCATGGATAAATTCTGATATAAAAGCAAGTCTGGCTGACTTTGCAGGATTTGAAACAGAACTGATGTAGTCTCTGTTGGAAATCTGTTTAGGATCCACCAGAAACCAATCTCGCTTCATCACCAATGGTGGAACCTAAAAAGAAATAAAGAATATCAAGATAAGAGTGATTATAATCCATCAAATACATCTTGTGCTTGTGCACATTTGGTCTCAACATGTCATGTGATGCAGTATGTTCCAGTTAAAACTAAGGAATATGTGAAGATATATCCTAAGTAATATTGCCATATTTTCAAACCTTACATCTACTACAATAAAAGCATTTGTTTCAATTTAATTCAAGATGAATTTAATTTAGCCATTCTTACAGAAGAAGGGAAACATTCATTTGTTCATAAAGTCATACCAGAGAACACTGAAAAGTAAGTTTTTTGTAAACATTTTTCTACTTGTTGCAAAAAAAAATTGAAGGATACAAGAAGTACAATAGCCTCTATTTGGCAAAATACTAGAATATTTGTCCTTGGACACGATCTGTTTCTTGAAACTAACAGTTTTCCTCAAGCTTCACTCTCAGAAACCTGTTCACGTCTTAGAGCGGATAATTTCCGTGGACAAATATATGTGCCCATATTTTTGTGCCAAATAGAGACTATTGTTTATTTAAGTCACACCTGAACCCACTGGCTGTAAAGTTGTCTTATTTCTTTGTAGGTAATTGATATGTTAACTTTAAAAATTGGGTGGAAGTTAGAGGCAAAGAATTCATCTGCATGTGCAAGCATTACTCTTCTGATTAATTTATCTCCAGTTTGCATTTCCACAAACCAATAGCAGATATGTTACTTTGCCTTGCTTTAATAGAACAACTTGAACAACTTTACCTGATAAATTTGAGTATTCTCATTACCTGCTTTCTGGATAATGATTTTATTCAGAGAAGTTACATGTTAATCACCTCTGGGAGTTAAAAGGTTAATAACCTTCCCTACAAATGTAGTTCAATACCCATTCATGACACCAAGAAGATGTGACACATGACAATTACCAGGATGTTTAACTGATAACCTAATAAGGCATGTTGTGATTCTTTAAAAAGGCAAAACTTTAAATTTTGGGAATAGAATTATCCAAAGAAAGCAACTTTTAATACCTTAAATGTCTCTCCCTCTAGAAAGGAACCATCATTCTTTACAAAGGATACAACACCATCTGCTGTAACCAAAACTAACTCATTCATCCCATCACTGTCATAATCAAACTGAAACAAGAACAACATGATCAGTCATTACTCATGATGACAACAAATTTCTTCAGCAGCATCAGGGATAAGTAAGAAACAGACCTTTTGTATTCGTGTTCTAGCAGAGTGGGAATTACATGAATCTCTATATATTACGACAAAACTGTTGCTCTTCCTTTCATACAAACCACATAAAACGTTCTAGATACCAGTAGAGGTGCAGCGAATAAGAGTTTTCCGGGTAGAGTTACTGGCCATCCAGCAAGGTTAAGACCTGACCGTCCATCAACAACTGATACCTGACCATCCAAGGAAGTGGCAAGGACATCTCTAACATTATCGCCATTGAAGTCCGCCACAAGAGCGCTTGATACGACAGGAGATGATCCAACATCTGACTGCCACACGGTTTCCAGCCTGCGGTGACAGTCGTGAGCTGTTATGGTGACGATAAAGCTCAGAAAGAAAGCTGTATGTGCTATGATCTCTGAGCGTGTCACTCGTTTTGATGAATACTTTGAAAGCATTTCAACAAAGGAAATCGCTCCACTACTAAATTTCAGAGAGGATGAAGAACTGGCACTTCGGCCATGAAGGACTACCGTCTAAGGCGCAGAAAAACTTTCAGTCTCACCGACTCGTTGCTGTTGTCATTGATCTGTTGTGTCGCCATTTTGGACGCCATGTTGTTCTTGCATGGAGCCTGCACTATACCTATAGCGGTGCTCTTCTGAAAAGGAGTTCTATGTCTTGTAACATGTATGTAATGTCATGACTCGCCAGGAAACTACGTCACGGGGACTTACAGAAAGAGATGCATCCAAGGAAAAAGATCATCATAGGGATTCGGCAAAGCGTAGCCGTTTCCTTGCGAAAGAAAAAAAGGAGAAATGAACGCTTGTTTGAAATCTTCAATGCATGAAATCGTTTTAGCTTGCTATATATTTGTTTGGTACAATTTTTTTCAAAGATAGGTCGAAGACCATCGAAAGAAAAAAAAATCAGTACAATTCTATAGATCGCACTATCTGG